CCCAATTGAGCATCTCTGGAGAGACCTGAAAATGGCTGTCCACCAACGTTCACCATCCAACCTGACGGAACTGGAGAGGATCTGCAAGGAAGAATGGCAGAGGATCCCCAAATCCAGGTGTGAAAAACTTGTTGCATCATTCCCAAGAAGACTCATGGCTGTACTAGCTCAAAAGGGTGCTTCTGCTCAATACTGAGCAAAGGGTCTGAATACTTATGACCATGTGATATTTCAGTTTTTCTTTTTTAATAAATTTGCAAAAATTACATTTCTGTTTTTTTCTGTCAAGATGGGGTGCTGAGTGTACATTAATGAGAAATAAAATGAACTTTTTTGATTTTAGCAAATGGCTGCAATGAAATAAAGAGTGAAAAATTTAAAGGGGTCTGAATACTTTCCGTACCCACTGTATATTCCTCCTTTGTTTTTTTGTCATGCTTTTCTCGTGTAGGCTGCAACTGCTTTAGGTGGTGTGGACTCCTTTAGGATTCCATCGCTCTTTGCTTCACTGTTGTGCATCAGTCGACATCAATACCTATTTGAGCTAATCGTGTTTTAACAACTCAAGAAACCAATGACGTGACCAACTGCTGACCGGCCATCGACGTAGAGTACCCCGCTCAGTCTGACCCCAGTGCTCTAGTCACGTGTGGCAACAACGATTAAGGCTCAAACACAGCCGCCCTGTCACAGCCCTCAGTGCTGACAACAACAGCAAACCTCACCACAGCAGGTATTTTGAGCATCCATGGAGCCAATCAAATGTCTCCCTGCAGCAAGGCCCTCATTGTGCTCCCGGCGCTGGTTTTAATCACCGAATTCCTTCACCCGGCGCATCAAAGGAGCACATGCCCGGAGGAGAGATGGAGGGTGTAGCGGAGCGTCTGACTGGTCGATAGAACAGAAAAACATGGTTTTTGAACAACCACACTGCAACCAGTTCACGTCTCTCAAAATAGCTATAGAATATTCTCATCTATACAGCTTTGTAACATAATTGACATCGTTTTTTGCACAAAGTATAGACCTCTGCAGACCTCTGCAGATCTCTCCTTATCCACTGATCCTATCATCCATCAGTGTGTGCTCTACATCTGCCTTTACTGTAATGTAATGTACATAATTTGGCTTTTATGTTTGCTCTCTTCCCACCTTGTGTTGTGACTGCTGCACAGCAATTTCAAGATTCATCTCATCTTATCTTTATCTCTTCTCCCCCAGCTACTGACGAGTCATTAGTTTGTCTCCCTGAGCCGTGAGAAATGAGACTGACAGTGAAATCTCTTCCCCTGCTGTTGACCCAAAGCCTCATTACAACCCACAACATCAAAGTGTTGGAAGGCAACGTGGCAAATAAATAGAAGCCAAATACATTCATAATTTTCTAAAATAAATAAAAGATCTGCATTTATTTCTGTGTTTCCGTCACATCATTCCCATCCAGCGTTCTCAGCTCACGCAGTAGGGACACATCTTTAACCTGTTCTGTCGCCATCAAAGACTTTCATGGACAGAAGGTGATGGCCTCCGGGAAAAGTTCTAAAACTTCACACAATGTTAACAAAGGCGACAACAAGACAGTAAACTGTAACAGCTAAGATTAACGACACTCAGCAACAAGCAATAATGAATACAATCTGGGCTCAGGCAAAGCTTTAACAGGAAGTTGGAGTTCAGTTTGTTGTCTGCAGATGTTTGTGTCTCTCCTGTGAGTTCATTAAATGATCCTTGAGTGTTTCCAAAGCCAAAGAGTTATGAACATTTACACACTTGGGGCGACCGCGGTAACTTCATTGATTACTGTTCATAAGAAATGATCCCCTACATGGAGACAGGATCGATCAGGTTCAAACGGGATGAATCACAATATTTTCTGGCAGCTGGTCTGATCCCATCGTCAGATAGTTTTACTTTATTTCTATTGATTTAATATTTTGTGTAATTTTATTCTCTGTTGCTGTGAAATAAAATAAGTTGTGTTTTGTCAGCGTATGTGTGTAATGTTACTGATATGGTCCTGTGTGTCTTCATCCCAGCATTACAAGAAGAGATGTCCTTGTAAAGGTTTAGCTTGTAAAGGCATTGTGCTCATGCAGCAGGACGCTGCACCAAACTCTCTGCTGATGAATGACACTTGTGTCCTTTTCAGCCTTGCAGACAAATAAAGCTCAGCCACTCCAGCAGCTGTGTCTGCAGAGCAAGACGACCAGCCTGTTCAGAAACAGGGACGCTGCTGCTTGACCTTTGCAATTGTTTCATTATTTACCCTGTATTCAAGTCACTGGCATGACAATATACACTTTTGCTTGATTAAGCTGCAGCGCAGAATTTTAATATGAATATTATTCACAGAAAATTAGCTTGTTGGGAACTTTCCCTACCCACTATAACTTAAAATACAGATGTGTGTTAGCATTTATTCTATACATGTTACCAGTGTCAAAATATGAACACAAATGAATAATTGCATAATTCATAAGCAAGTCCTGCTTTATAATGTGCTGATTAATACTCTGGTCATATCAGAAAGAGGCACAGTGAAGTCCATCTGCACATCTTTGCAAAATAGAAGAGCTGGTAGCTTGTAACACAATGACAATTCACAGTGCAATCTACAAAAATACAGTTTTTCAGATAGCAGCCACGGTTGAATTTCAGCCTGCATGCATGTTTTTTTTCAGCCTAACATTGTTGAAAGAGAGCGGCTAGCATTGCTAGCCAGAGCAACAATCTAGTGGACCATTTAGAATGTTATCAGCCGATTGAATGGGCCTTATCAGTGATTATCACTACTACTATAGTGCTTGTTGTTGGCAACAGCAGCGCATGAACATACTGCGCATGGTAGCTCCCATCAATTTCGCTGTATTTTTGTCTTTATTTGTTGTTGTTTTTCGTGTTTATCACTCATAGCAGATGACAGAAGACAAAAGGAAGAGTGGGGATTAAGAGCAGTGGACTTTGAGACGATCACTGCTCCACGGCCGACCAACCAGCCAGACCTGCCGGACCAAACAGGGAGGGAGGAGAGCACGAGATGGAAGCTAAGCTAACCCAGCTAGGACCTGAGGCTACTGCACTACCCAGCATGCTCCTGGGACTCTGTGTTTACATCATGATGCTTGGTGCTCAAACACAGTCAAAGTTGATGGACAATGTTTTTTTCCTCATGTTAAATTTTGAATGTGAAGATGTCGGCCATATTATCTGCCCAGAGGATAGTTGTTGCTGTTTCATTCCCTATGATGCAAATTAAAGAATGCACTACAGTAATACACTACTGTTTTAGTTTAGTTTGTCATGTGTTTGTTGGGTTACAAATGGGCTACAACTGACTTTGGTCAGTTGTAGCCCATCTTCTGAACATACTAGTAGGTGAGCAGGCCCCTTGTAACCCATATTCTAACCATATCCATGAGGCTGATAACTGCTGATAGCCCATTCTAACAGCTGCCAAAATTTGAAACCAAAAGCTTTATCTGTAGACCTTACATTTCCATCAGAAGTCTCCTGGTATGCACCTTTTGTACTATCTAAAGTGAAAATGAGTTGTGTCGTTTTCACACACACAGTATGACATCCTCTGATAGAGCATCACTGCTGGCAGACGAACCATCATCACCGTCTGGATCATTGACAGCAACTACACCAGAAAACATTCAGAAATATACTGAAACACAGAAATATACTGGAATGTGCAAATTAATAACATACTCAAGCGGTTTCCTCTCTGATTCTGTCGACCTGGTTTCACACTTGCAACGTGTAAATATTTTCATTTCAAAAAACAATCTTCGTTTTGCGTTTCTTTCGGTACAACATGGTGGGTGAAGATACTTCCACTGATACAGAGCTTGTTTTTGAGAATGTTTACAACACGTTTTATACATTACATAATGTGTAACTAAGTCCTGACAGCAGCTGAGTTTACTGCATGGGATTGTAAGTCAAACAGTAAAGCACATGATATTGCATCAGTCATATAAACTAACGGACATTCCCACGTCTGCACTGCCATATTATCTGAACAGAGAAATGCTTTTGTTGCTGCTCTTTACATTCCTTATGATGCAAATGAAAAGAATGCACTACAGGAAAGTACTACAGTTATAGTTTAGTTTGTCATGTGTTTGTTGTGTTACAAATGGGCTACAACTGACTCTGGTTGTGCATCCCTGTGTTGCATAATGACAATAAATGTCCTTGAATCCTTGAGACAGAAATGTGCAGAAGACACACTTCAGTTCTTTACAGACCAAAGTTCACAGTCAGCTGTTTTCACGACGGGAGGAACAGGACCTGATGGCCTTGATGCCCTTTTCAATTTTTCAACAGATTTCAAACAAGATTTTAATCTGGACCTCCGCCCATCACAGGCACAACCTCCTATTAATACATACAGTCTGGCCCCATCACGGTCTGTTTTCAGCCTCTAGCTTTTCTCATCTTTCATCATCAACCAACTTCACATTCATCTGGGCCTCCTCCCATTAGACACACAACCTTTTCTATTGCCACTTGATTAACTTTGGTACAGGGTTAAAACATTAGAATATTTAGTTGGAAATAAATCAGATATATGTATGAAGAATAATAACGCAGAAAATGAAGGCGATTATCAGATAGTCCTCCAATCCAACACAGACGTATGAAGTGGCTGTGATCCAATCAATAACCGCTCCACCTTTCTTACACACAGTCAGTCATGACATCTCTATCATCTCTCTATTACATGTATATCAGACTCCACGCATTCATATTTAAGACGTGACATCATCGTCTTTTTCATGTGAATTAATTAGATAACCAAGATTTTAAACCCTTCTTGACATTGCAATAGAAGAAGGCAAAACAGTGTATTGTTTTCAGCATTCCAACAACATGCATGAAGTTAAACAGCACTAATACGCCACAAGACCAGAGACAACACACCATAACATGACACCAAACACATTCACACTCAGATTCCCGGCACGCCGTCATTCATCATTGACACTTACCGACGTTGATGACGTTGGCGGACAGGAAGTGGCTGCAGGGAAGGCTGGTGGTGCTCACGAAAGAGTCGCCGTCCGTCGTCACGGTGGTCCTCGACCTCAGCGACAGGTTGGGGGAGTCGGTCACCATGGCCATTCTAGCTGCCACAGCCGCCATGACCGCTGACGGATGACAATGTTCAAGGTGTAGCTGCTGACCTCGCTCCCCAAAGAGTCTGTAGAGTCTTTAGAAACTGGGATGCAGGCAAATGGAGTTCAAGAAATACTGTATCTCATTGGTAAAAAATATCGGATAAAATCACTGGAAGAAGGAGCAAATTTAGCTTGAGAGGTTCCTCAAATTGAAGTTGAGTTGCAGTAGAAAGCTGAAAAGGAAGTGGACTGGGGACTGACTGCCTGCTATCTAGAGCTGTCAAGCTGTCAGAACAACCCTCAGTGAAATATTCCCAAAACAACAACTGCAATGCAATCCAATATTCCAAAGTGATGGCAGTCACAGAAGGACGTCTTTGATGAGAATTCCTCACATGAGTTTTATTAGTTGAATATGATGAATGGAATCACTCAAAAAAAGGCTTCTGGTCCTCCTGGTCCAGATCATAATCCCAGTCAGGCCGAGCTGCTGCAGTCACCTACAGCAGAGGACACACAGACACCTTCTCTTCACTCCTCATGGTTGATGAGGACAAACACAAATATGACATGTTATGCAGTTTCTGCTCAGAATACTAAATTCGATATTTATGTATTCGTACTAGAACTCCCTAGTTCATTTCTGTACGTGATGAAGGAAGGATGTGATTAACATTAAATTCAGCACAAAACATATACTTGTAAAGGTTAGGACACTACATCTTAAAGCAACTTAACGCCGTGGTTGCTATATTTGACCTAATGTCGATATCATTATGAACTAATCAAACAAAATCTTCTTTCAATGTATTGGTCATTTCAGATCTCAATAAGGATGTATATCACAATATAGCATGTTTTCTGGTAAATCAAAAAATAAATAGTCAATATGAAATAACCACATGGTTTATATACTTGACAAATGAAAAACATTGAGTATTTTCTCATTTTATTAAGAACTTTAGAGCAACAATTTCTGAGTTGGAACGGGCTTGTTATTATCAATTTAGACAACGTGTTTGCATATATCGTTATCTGAAAATATGATTTCATCAAGATATGATTCCATTGATGAATTGATAAATTATCCTATTGAGTTATCAATCAGCCCCATCATCAACTCAAACAAAGGATAGGCCAAAGGCTGAAAAAAAAGAATGGCAGCCAATAAACAACAATCTCCTGTACAATACACTGTAATCAATGAAGCTCATGTTATAGGTGGGGGAATCACCAAAGTCCTAATAAGTAATAACAGTAATTGTAGTGTCCCTCTCAATGTGCATCAATCCATAAGATGGTCAGGGGTCACTGAGGGTCACTCCAAGCCCCCTTTGGGCTCTCTCAAACTTCACTTGACCTCAGGTTCCATGAGCGATGCTGCTGCTGTGGATGTCACAGCACAAGTCACACGCATTTAATGATTCACATCGCTGTGAGAAAATGAAACCCGGAGGCAGCAGCAAACCGACACAGAAAAAGAAGATAGTATGTGGAGAGAACCACGAAACAGAAATGTAATTTAGTAATTAAAGGATAGGGATTTAAAATGTAATGAAAAAAAAATCAATAAAGCTTTTTAAAAGGCATTCAAGATATTCATTTGACCTAGTTTAAGAAGAAAGCTTCAGTCTACGTAGGATGCAGCATGACTGGTGCCAGCATGTTACACCACACCTCAGACTCACTTCAGCTCTCCTACCTAAGCCTCCTTTGTTTGCCTACCTTCTGCCATCACTCACAGAAACCCACCAACATGAAGATTGGATACACCTGAAAACATGTACTTCTCCGCTTGAAAGTCTCCTTTAAATCAGCTTTCAAAGTTGAAAGCTTTAACGCTGTGTATGTGATCCGCCGCCCTGCGAAGGACTGAACAATGTGTGGTGTGTGTGTGATGGGGGAGTGAGTCAGGGTTAGCTAGACGAGGTGGGCCGGCTGGAGGACGTGTTGAGAACTGTTTCTGAAAAGTTGGCGGTCAGATTGGCCAAGCTGCAAGTCTGGGCACGTTCTTGTTAGCGTCAAACCCACATACACACACTCCACCTGGACACAGGAGAAGGTGTGTGTGGGACTAGTGCTTGTATTTGAAGTGGTTGGTGAAACACCAACATGCTTTTATTCAAACTAACGTGTTTCAAACAGTCATCAACGGAACAAGGAGGGCATCTTGTAACATGAGACATTTAACAATTCCTTTGTACTCAATGTTGTAAGTGTGACTCAGATATCAGGCAGAACTGCATCCGTTCAGTGCTTGAACACGATGTTCAGTTTACACATGATTCTGTTGAAAAAAACGTTTGGTACTATTTGCGACAGTTTCAGCACTTTTTCAATAAAAGGTTCCAATAGATGGACGCAAGCAGAGGACCAACTACCAGGATCCTATCGACGCAGGGCAACGTCTGACTGCTCGGTCTGAGGTAAACTGTTGTATAGCCTAAGATACTATAAGATATTTTATAGAGTTTCCTTTTAGCAAAATGCTCTGAGTGAATTTGAGTTCCCTCTGGTAAACTGTTACGCAGTGTATATAGGGCTTTTATTGTAAAAGGTAAGAACAAAAGTAAAGGATCTTGGCTGAACTATACATATTAAATATGTCCATTCAGCACAACATGGTTGGTTGGCACAACAGCCATCAAAACTCAATCTCAAATCTCAATGTTCTGTCAAGCATTCATAATCAGTTACAGCCTACATGAAATCATTCTCTTTGCCGAGACTCTCAGCCCCCTTATCTCTGCAATAACAAAAGCCTCAATCCTAACCAAGCTCCCGAGTCAAAGGGACATTTACACACTGCTTTGATAGCAAACATGAACATGAACATTGTTGAATATCCACTTCCATTACAAAATTAGGTATTGTCTTTATGACAATAAAACACTGAAATCTGCCAACAGTAATCACATTACTGGCTCTATTCCATCGGTGAGGAACTCTGGGATTTTTTTTTATATTCTCCATAGACCCTTTTACAGCCTACGTCACGATTACATCACAGTGTTAGCTGAAGAAAAAAAAGGAACGATTGGAGCACAAATCTCCTCAGAGTAGTGGGCTAAAGTTACCCATCGAAAAAGTCATCTGGCTGTGCTGTATGGTACCAGAATTAATTTTGCATACATTTAAGATGATAAACTGTGATTCTATGCAAAACGGGCAGGGCGTTTCAGAAATGGAGAGAAAATGTTGCTAATATTTTAGCTTAGCCTTCTACTAACCTCCTCGGCTGTCACGGCTGCTACACCTCAGCGGCTAAACTATTAGAGAGATGAAGAGATGGCCTGCTTATTTTCTGTAACTATTGTAGCATCAAAGCATCGTGGAATTAGAAAGCTAACTAGCGGACGGCTGGCTACTTAGCTGGCTTGCTAATTCCGCCATGCTTTCATGCAACACGGGTTACATGAAGCATGTGTGGATGAAGCATTAATTGTTCAATTTTACAAATTTAGCAGCTGGCTAGTTGGCTAGCTACCATGCCAATTCCACCATGCTTTCATGCTAATGTTACACTGGTTAAAGAAAATTAGTGCAACAGCGTCTGCGCATGCGACTACTGTCCCTCCCTACTGTGCCTCACTCCTGGCCTCTAGGAGATTACTTCGCCGGGAAGAGAGCAGGCGGGAGCTCTGGAGACTAACTAACTAACTAGCCAGCTCTGGAGGTGGACAAGCTAGATAGCTAACTAACCACCCGTCCTCTCAGTTTGCTTCTCCCAGATTGACGACAGGAATCAAAGTCATTTAATTGGCAGTGGGGGAATACCTCAACATTTGGTTTAGATCAAACAGCAAGTAATAGGTAATGGTCACCATGGGGTCTAAATGTAAAAACACAACTGTTTGAAACCTACTTCAACCCGATGTATATAAATAAATGTACAAAAAGGGGACCCAATCTGAAAGGCATGCAAAAACAGTTAGCCTGAATGGACCAGAGGATAGTTGGACCTGATTCAAAAAGTGGGCGATACAAAGAGACCCAAAGAGAGAGAGAAACACTCGGAGCAGCGAGATGCAGCTACAGTCAAAATGAGCAGCGAAACGTGAATTTCCCTGAACCTCACAGTTCAATTAATTTCAATTCAATTTATTTATGCGTCAAATCACGACAAAAGCTATCTGGAGGCACTTTTCATATAGAGCAGGTCTAGACTGTACTCTACAATTTACAGAGACTTAACGTTCCCCCATTTGCAGGCACTGGAGCAACAGTGGCAAGATAAAAACTCCACCTCACAGTTTCACTCTCATTTGCATTTTATGCATTAAAAAAACACTTCTTTCTCCTGTGATGAAAAAGCACCTCGTGATCAGAGCTGATAACAATTCCTCTTGGATCTGCTTTGTAGACATATTGACACACAGACCTGAGACCTGCAGCCATTCAACAGGACCCTTGTTCTGAGTGAACTTTGTATTGGAGAGAAATGTGCCATGATTAATGATGTAAATGCAATATTAATAGGCTGCTTGTCTGTTGCTCCTCCTGAGCTTTCTTCCGTTTGGAAGGTTTTTTTGGGGGGGGGGGAGTTTTTCCTTATCTGAGTCAAATGGTCTCAGGACAGAGGGGGTTGTAGGCTGTACAGATTGTAAAGGATTTGGGATTTGGGATATATATATATATTATATATATATATATATATATATATTTGGAATATAAATTGACTTGACTTACCTCTAAATACATTTCGCTTTACTATTCTACTACTACTTTTTTTCTAAATGAATGCCTAAATGAAATGCTTGTGACATCCCACCAAGCAGGGGAAAAGAGAGTTGACCTGGTAAACTCAGTATTTTTTTATTATTACAAATATATATTATTTTTCATTATTATAATTTTCTCTTTTCTGTATATGTATTACCTATCCGGCCTCTCTAACATGTTATGATTACCGTGAAACAACGATATCTTGAGTTACTTTTTTTACCCTTTTCACCTGTAGGTTGTTGCAGAATTAATCTAATTTTACAAGACATATGTTGCTTTTTTACCTAATTTTCACTCTGAACCAAAAATCTCCATTTCAGTAGCTCTCACATACACCAAACATTCCAATTTCATTCCTATCTATATTCTGAAGGATTTGACAGAGGGCTTTGTTCAGATATCATTCATAGACTGATTTATACACATATTGCTAAAAACATGGCAAAAAAATAATATCCAACATTCCCTCTGTAAAACCTTTGACTCTAAAATATCAACAAAATGAAACAAGAATTTTTAACCTGGTTTCATCCAATGTTCACATTTCTGTTCTGGAAATGTATGTGAAGAACCACATATTTGATCATTTCTTATTTGCGCATTTAAACATATACATTTTCAGAAAACTTAATAAAATAAGCAATTGTCTTAATGGAAGAAATCAACTGGGGATGTTTGATGGTGATTTCTATTAGTTAAATGCGTTACCCTATTCACCTGGCGTGTCTCTCTTTAAATGTATGGGGTTTTACATTTACATCATCACTTAGTGGAA